AAGATCTGCCAAAATTATAGTTCGAGTTAAGGGAATTTGTAATGCATAGAAAAAAGAAGGGAACCCCCCCCCCAAAAAAAACACAAAGTCACAAAGAAATCACTGTCCCCATTAACCATACTATCTAGCCTGGACTTACTGACTAAGGGTATCATTTACATGGTTGTGCAAGAAGGGATAATAATTGGTTGACATTCTCATGGTCATGGGCGTGTGTTTTATGGCTGATGAGCATGTCAACGTTTAATAAACTAGATAAAACCAGCTTCTTGTTCTTGTTTTTGTTCTTGTTCATGTTTTTGTTCTTGCTCTTCTTCTTATCCTTCTCGTTCTCCCTTCCATGTTCCCGTACTTCCTTAACACCCTGGGGCAGTGCCACTGACTGAAGTTGTCTTTAAGCCATTCCCAAAGGGGGAATATGAACATGTTCTTATTATGCTCAATAGAATTGTAAATTGGCGGATTCATCAATGTCATGCTCATACTGTTCCTGAACTCTATGCGAGGGACTGCTGCTTTTTCTTTCCTCATCCTCACTATCCTCATTTTTCCTCTACTTCTTTTGTATGTTTGTCACTCCCTTGTGACCGGCTATTTTGGGGGTGCCTTGATAGTCGAAGCGGATTTTGTGCTAACAAAAACTAACAACAACTGGGGAAAAGAAGAAACACGACCTACCAGAGGCGCACTCCAGCCACCGGCTGAAAAGATTGCCCTACAAAAGGCCCATTCATCTACTAATTTTCAAGGACATTTTATTATTATTCTTACTTTCATACCCTAGCTCGCGTGTTTATTCTTATTTCTAAATTCTCCCTTTGCAATGTCTTTCAGAGGTAAGACTCTACTATATTCACCACCTACAACCCCACTCCCCCCCTAACTCAACTCCACTCCCCTCCCCAACCCCGGACCTACCCCATCCTAACTATTGTAATACCAGCGGCATAAATGGCGACCTCAGTGCTTTTTGTCTTACCTCCATGTTTGTTTGTTTGTTTGTTTGTTTGTTTTTGTAAAGTGTTTTACGGCGCTTGCAACTGCATAAGGTCATATGAGCGCGCGGGACACACCTAATATTTTCAGTTTGGTAGGAAATTTTGAATTTTGCCCGGGTGGCGGCCGAAGCCTACTCTTATCGATTTTTAGACCACCAAGGGATCTTTAATGTGCGCAACTTGCACACAGGCCCTCCGAGATTTCGCCGTTGTCCGAGAAGGCTAGGTGTAGATCTTTTCTACCAGAAGATCAGGGGTGTGGCAGAAAGACAGCAGTAAGGAGGAGTCAAGGAGTAGCTGCAGAAAGGCTGCAGAAAGAGTCAGGAGCCCAGAGGAGGTGAGGGGATGGGGGCAGAAAGAGGAGACGAAAGCAGACGACAGAATATTGCTAGAGAGCAGGAAAGGAGCTTCAAGGAGACAATTTTAGAGAAGAAATTTTTTCGGTCGCTACCCGGATTCGAACCCGGGACCTTTTGAGTGAGAGGCCAACACCTTAACCTCTAGGCCACGAGAGCCCCCACCTCCATGTTTAATAACTGGGAAAATAATTCATAACAAAGAGCGCGCCTAAGAAGAAGTCATATGTTCAATGTTTAAAAAAAAAAATGGAGATAGGGCAAGAAAGCACTGAGGTCGCGAAATTCTGGCCCTCATTCAACATCGGGGTATGTCAGAATTTCGAAGGAACCTTCATTCGAAAACCAAGTAGATCTATGTTGCAGAGTCTGAAGAGGCACACAGATTGGTCCTAATTTGTCTAATTCCTTTTCATAAAATAGTAATAGAATCAGACGAATTGAACATTTTGAATGAGGATTATATCCTCAGTAAAATAGAACTTAACTTTTTTTTCTAATGTCAATTTTTATTACTATTATTATTATTGTTATTGTTGTTATTATTATTATTATTATTATTATTATTAT